CCCCCCAGTGCCTGCCTGTCCTCCTGCGCCCGGCCGGTGCTGCCCCGGCTTTGCGGGGCTCTGGCCGCGGGACCCAGGCCGCTCCTCGGAGCATCGGCTTATTCCACTGCCCTGGCTGTGGGGAGCGGGGGGCCCAGGCAGAGAGAAGGTGAGAGCTGAGCGGGGCCCCGCTTCCCCCCGGCCCCGCCCCCCCTGGCCGCGCTGGGGCCGGGGTCGAGTCTCGAGTGGGAGGGGGGGGGGGGCGCCTCCGCCGGACACGCCCTGGCAGCGCTCTACTCGCCCCGCCCCTTCTCGCTGTGTGGCCGCCGAGGGAAGTGGGGGGGGTGTAGAACCCCGGGGGCTCAGTCTAACGGTTGCCAGGTATCGGATCGGGGGCGGGGCGTTCCTGCCCTGCTGCAGCCCACGTGGCTCCCATAGTGAGGCTGCCGCCGGCTCCCACTTGGCAACCCCTGCTGGAACAGCCCTGGCCAGCGCTGGCCTGGACGCCCCCTGGTGGCAGAAACTAGTCCGGGCACCGCAGCGGCCCTTGCCTGAGGGGTTCCCAGGCCACTGCGAACAGGGGCTGCTCCATATGAGACTAGCTCCTGTGGGGCTGGAGCAACCCTCTGCGCGCGGCTGGCAAGGAGTTGCTCCAGCCCCCACCATTTACGAGTTAACCGGTACATTTTACCGGTTCCTGGGGAGCTGTCTCTCCCCCACACACCACTGCCTCTGTGTCAGACACAGCAAAGAAGTGGGGGGGAGGTGGGCAGCAAACCTGACACCTTGTATGCCCTGGCTCCTGAGGATCCAACTACTGCCCCTGCATGTAACCCCAAATTTTTTGAGTGGTTACACAAATACTAGCCTAAGCACATTTTAACAACCCTAACATTTGCTAATGCTGCTTAAGTCTTACTGCAGATACTATTTTTTCTTTCCTGCAGCATGGAGAAGAAGTAGGACCCCACAAATTGCAAAAAATAAACGAGAGGTAAGACATGAAAATGTTTGCATTGAACTTACCTGCAAGACTTTGAAGAGTTTGTATGTATTTTAGTATAGTTGGACCTCCCTGGTTTGGCACCTTTGGGACCTGAGGAGTCCCAAGCTGGTGAGTTTGCTGGACCAGAGGTTGTCAGTGCTGTTCTGCTGACCTCCAGCTCTGCTCCCGAACTCCTCTCTGGGCTGGGGGCTCTCAGTGCTGCTGGGTTCTCTGGCCATGGCCTGCCCTGCTGCCTCTGGGGCTTCCTGAGTTCCTGGATATGGGGTTGCTATCCCCTCTCTCATTGGGAGGCTTCCTACCACTCACTGGGGCTCCCTACCACTACCAGCCCAGCTGGGACTCTGCAGTCCTAGTGGAACTCCTGGCTAGCTCCCTTTCCAGTGCTCTTTAGTCCAGCAAAATCCATGGTCCCACCAGACCACTTATGTTGCTGGACCAAAGAGTCCTGGCTTTGGGACGTTCAATCTGTAATGTAAGCATTAACTGTCCCAATTGCAAATATTTTACAATCTAATCATAAGATGACAAATGGATCCAGATAGTCAGGGCTCGACAAATAATGCAGTCTACTCGCCTGTGGCGAGTAGATTGCAACCCAGAAGAGCCGGGTTCGGGCGATCTGCGCATGTGCAGAACGATCTGTGCATGCTCAGATCGCAGGGCAGCGCGGCTGGCGAGCGGGGCTTGCTGCGGTTTGGCGAGCCCTGCAGATAGTCATGGGAGTACAAGGAAACTATGAAATGCTTTTGGTCAACAGGATAGGCAGCAGTTTCAGCACACCAGGAGCCTGTCTTGGGTTGAGATTTTTGTAGGCATCAAGGCCAAGAGTTTCAAGGAGGGATTTGAAGGAGAAAAATGAAATGGCTTTGCCTGTGTTACAGCAAAGAAGATTTATTCAAATCAGTGACTTAAATTACCAGTTTTAATTGTGATTTATATTAAGGATGTTAAGAAGCGAGTAATTGATTTAATCATGTAGTTGATACAATTTGTAGCAACTGACTACATGATGAGTTGGTAAGGGGCCCCACTGCAACTGTGCAGATTAAATGTAGTAGGAGCTGGGTGTGCAGGCAGCCCAGCTCTTACTACATTTAAAATGCAGAGCCACAGTGGGGGGAGGTCCAGGACAACGCACAAACCAGGACTGGGCTGTCCCAGCTTGCACTGAGTCCTGGACTCCTGGACCTCTGCCTTTTAAATGTAGTAAGAGCCAGGCCCACCACAGACAAGAGCTACTGCCATGAAGCAGCCTCTGCATGCGGTGTGCCCAGGTTTGAGGCAGACAGGGGCCCCTCTGTGGGAGGTGGAGCAGCCTCTGTCTTCAGTGAGCTCGGACCCACTTCGGATAGAGGCTGCTTCACAGTGGCCTCCTCTACCTCTACCCTCCCCCTGCTCCTGCTTCGCCCTCCCCTGCCTTGCCGCTGATACAGAGGCGGTGGGGAGGGAAGGGGAGGATGCAAGTAGTCAACAAGATTAACTGATTAGCCTAGGTTTATCGGTTAATCATCTAGTTGATTACTCATTGACAGGGCTCGACAAATAATGCAGTCTACTCACCCATGGCGATCCGTGCATGCGCAGAACGATCTGTGCATGCACAGCTTGCCGGACAGCGTGGCTGGCGAGCGGGGCTCACTGCGGTTTGGCGAACCCTGCTCATTGACATTCCTAGAAGGGATGTGTTGCAGAGATGTTATGCTGAGGAATCCATAAGTCTAGACGTAGCCTAGATGTAATTGTATTGAGTGCATGCATTGCCTACCCAAGGTACTCAGAGTTAAGATTACACTTAAAATAAATCCATATGTGTTGAAGTGTGACCTTTATTCTGAGTTGTCTGTATTTGTAGAACTTGATTTTAAGATAATTACATTAACTGTCCTGTCTTTGACAGTAAACTACAGGGGCTATGTCTACACTGTGCATTCTTGTGCAAAAATATATGCAAATGAGGCGTGGCGATGAATGTCATCACACCTCATTTGCATACCTAATGAGCCGCCATTTTGCACAAGGGGCTTTTGCTCATAAAGGATCTGTCTACACGGCTCCTTCTTGTGCAAAACCCCCCTCTTGTGCAGTAGCCGTTCTTCCTGAAAATAAGCAGCAGAATGGCTCCTGTGCTAGAGGGGGGTTTTTGCGCAAGAAGGAGTAGTGTAGCCAGCTCCTTCTTGCGCAAAAATAGTGGTTCACTAAGTACGCAAATGAGGTGTGGCGATATTCATTGCTGCACCTCATTTGCATATCTTCTTGCACAAGAATGCGCAGTGTAGATGTAGCCCGGATGTATACTCTCAACAGTAACTCTGCCTGATCATGCTTTTTTTATTTTGAAAAACACAGGAAATTCCCAGACAAAAAAATCATGAAATAATCAGAAATCCAAAGATATCTATATAGTATAGCTTGCAAAACTTTATACACACACACCTTCTTAAGGGCAGACTCTTTGACATACCAAAGCAGCCAGAATACAGCAGCCAGTTAAGCAGATTCTACAGCTGCTTTATAAAGCAGAGCAATGTAAAGCAGCCAACGTACACTGGTGAATCTGGAGATTAATTTGCAATTGACTGCTGGCCAGCTGGTTATTGGTAAGGATCAATCGGTAACCGGTTACCCGTTTACATCTCTAGAGTCCAGTCTCATTCCTACTACTCAATCATTACAACCAATAGAGTTGTAGAATGCAAACTCTCTAGAGCCTGTGGTGGTTTATTGGGTTATATCTGTCACATTGGCCTTGTTTGTTTTTAAGTTTTTAATTCAAAGTAAATACATTCTAAGAATTTGTTCTGTGCTCAGAATAAGGGTGTTAAGATCATGAGGATACATTGTGTTTTTCATACAAAACAAGGATAAACTCACCGTTAACGGTGGAGTTATGACCAGTGCCGTAATCCATTGGAAACAATGCTGCGAAGATCATATTGTTGATTTATCAGAACACCTTCTCTGTGTCCTCCTGCTGGCTTCCCCTTCTGCACAGCATCAAGTGTAATTTTTTTGTCTTCATTTTTAACGCTTTTCATGGGCTTTTCTTATCCCGTCTTATAATATCTGCTGAGGTACAGAATTCTACATCTGCTTTGCAAGTGATGGTGGCCTACATCACCCCTCTGTTTAAATTTTTGAAAGTGCATTCAAGCTTTCTTCCAAGCTGCTTTTCATGCAAGGAAAGAACTCCCTATATAAATATGTGCTTAGCCACTTCATCGGTGGCCTTCAAATCTTCTTAATCTCTTTTGTGTCATGAGGTTGACACAGTTGTGACCTCTTGAGTTTTATGGTGACCAGCAGTATTCCCTGTAAACAGTGCTTCGACAGCCATCCGGGAAAGATTCAAAAGCTGTCCACCTGACTAGCACAGTGCCCACAGCCAGCAGCATGGTGCATGTCCGCACATGTTTCGGTACATATGATATAACAAAATGTATTAAGCACATGGATGGGTTAGCAGGAGCATTGGTGGCCAGTATTCTCATTGTTATTCCATGCTCTTTTTTCTGTTTGTATCCATTTGTCTCATCTTTCCAGTGACATAGTAAGTTCTTTGAGGCGGGGTGGTCTCTTTATTATGTTTGTATGGTGCTTGACACAGGGGGTCCCTGATTCATGATTGGAACTCCTGGGGCACTATTACAGTACAAATAATATATAATTAATTCTACACCCAAACCACTTTGGGGATATTGTGGTCTAAAACAAGTGTTTAAAAAAATCAAGTGGACATCAGTTAAATTTTCTGTATTTTAATTAACTCCTGATTCTAGATGGTTCTATGGGAATGTAGTCTTGGGACTTTTCAGAGTGCCGACGGTGTGTCTATCTGAATCTTTAGACACCTAAATAGCTTTCAAAATCTGTCCCAAAGAGCTCACGTTTAAGATTACTTGGTCATGTTTATGAACTTATAACAAAACTTGGGGAGACCAGACTTAACTTTCCTAATACTTTTAGAATACAAGTGAAGGGAGGGGAGAGGAGGGGAGGGGAAGAGAAGAGGAAGAACCTTTCTGAGAACTTCATAAGGAAACCACAAAGGGTTTTTCTTTTTTTAAATTCCTTTGCATGTCACCTTTAAACTTTTCCCAGAATGAAATAAAATGTGATATAGAATATTATTTGAGTTTGACTCATCTTCACTTTTTACATTTGAAGATTTGAAATCAGATGAGCGCACACAATACCTCAGGTTAAAGAGAGACTTTCTTAGAGTGAGCCTAGTTTTTTTTTCTATAACGTTGTGAATGTAGTTTGATTAAAAATGATATGTTTGTATGATAGAACACATGCTCTACATTTGAAAGGGAATTTAGGAAACACTTACCACAAAAGTATCTTTTCTTAAAACGCAACAGTAACCTTAGCAAAAAGCATCCCTGGAAGTTACTGTCCTATAACCACTCAATTATTCCTGACAACATCCTTCACTTTGACTTTTAATGATACTGACCCCCCCCCATCTAATTAGCATCACTTATAATTTCTTTAGCCAGGAACTCCTAGAACTGAAAAGATGGCTGTTGATCAGGATTGGAGTAGTGTTTATCCAACTGCAGCAGCATTTAATCCTTCTTCAGTCCCTCTTCCCATACGAATGGGCTATCCTGTGAAGAGAGGAGTACCTCCACCAAAAGAAGGCAATTTGGAGCTAATAAAGGTAGGACAAATCACACTAGTCTTTTTGTATAACTTGGTCTTGGGAGAGTTGGAATAAGACTAATGATTTGCAGTATGGCTTGATTTTTCCAGAGAGCACTTCATACTTGTTAAATATATTGTGTGATAAATATAATATAACTGCACCCAAGTAGCAAATGAAGTGAATTAGATGAGCTATATCAGTTTAATTCCTATGATTCCTTAAACTTGCATGTATTTAAGGTCTGGTCCTGGTGCTTTAGTTTCATAATTTACTAATATCAATAAAACGTGCTAGGGTAGAAGTGAGACGGGAAACTTGTTTACTTCTCTCATTGCAATCTCCCATCACAAACTTTGTTTAAAGAGAATAAATAGTAAAAGCGTAGTCAGCCTTTGTTTATTCATCAAGTTATTGTCTAGTCAAGAGTGCCTTCAATTTTAAGTTTACGCAGTAGTTAATTTATGAGCAAAGGTGTTACAAAAAATCAAAATTATTTATTTCAGATCCCCAACTTTCTCCATCTGACTCCCCCAGCAATTAAAAAACATTGTGCAGCTCTTAAAGGTGAGTTTTATCTTTTCTTTAAAACAGCTTAAATTTTCCACTGAAACTATCCTGGTAAATAATTACACCACAGTGTGGCAGGATAGGAAGACCCACGTACAAAACTGGCTGCTTGTCAGATTTATCTCTCAGTATTTTCCAGTACCATTTTTGTCCCATTGATTAATATGGCTTATTTCACATGAGTCTATATATTTTTTTCCAACTCTCTCAGAGAGTTATGGTTTGTTTTCTCAAGAAAACAGGCCACTGGGAGGCTTAATGAGTTGCTCTGGGTTGTGATGTATTCAGTATGGGTATGTCCACACACAATTTTTATTTTGGGAGAAGGATGCAAATAGCAGTGCACATTTGCATACTTCCTCCAAGGTGTTTTTTTGGAAGATGCTCTTCTGATATTTACCTGTGTCTACACGTGGCTGAATTTTTAAATAAACCCCTATTTCAAAGACTCCTTATTCCTCCTACAATTAGGTTTACAGGGGTCTTTGAAATAGGGGTTTATTTCAAAATTTGACCACGTGTAGATGTGGGTAAATACTGGAAGAGCATCTTCCGGAAACAAAAACCCGGAGGAAGTATGCAAATGCATAGCACTATTTGCATCCTTCTCCCAAAATAAAAATTGTGTGCAGGCATACTCTATGCTAGTGAGATTGCTTTGCTCTTGTGTTGAGCTCATTTATGCAGGGAAATGGATAATTAAATATCTCTATGAGAATGGGGCTCAGATATGACTCAAGTCTATAGAAGGCTAGGACTTTGTTTATGTACAGTGTTTTGTTGCAGTAATACTGTTGGTTGGGGTGTATATTTTTTAAAAACGATAACCCTTTTCTGGTATGACATTCACACAGTGTGAGTTACACTGATTTAACTGTCCCAATTCAACTATACAGCTGTTAGGCCTGAGAAAAATATTTGGAAGAGTTGAGATCTATTGTATAAATTTTCCAGGTGGGATTGTGCAGCAGATAAAATGTAACAATATTCTTGGATGCTCAAATAATGACTAAGGCCAAGAGTGGGTTTTTGTTTTTGGGGGGTGGGTTGGTTGGTTGTTGGGTTTTTTTTGGTTTTTAGTGTATGTGCATTAGTTGTTTTGGGGGGGTTGGGTTTTTTGCTTTTTGAGAAGTGCAACCTATTTTCTTCCAGAAAGATCTTCCCATAGATATCCATGTCTGTCAGTTTAAAATTGGTTACTGCATTATTTTCTGTTGGTTCCACAGCTTTAAATTGATTGAAAATTAGAGCTAATGCAGGATGTAGCAGTTCCTTCATAGGTGGAATTTCATGTCAGAGCATGTTATACTGGTGCTGTAGAATCTCTTCCAATAAGTTTCCAGCTGGAATTTGAACTGGTTTTAAATTTATAGATCCCTAAATAGTTTAAAACCTGGTTACTTGAGAGCTCCATGCTTCTGTTCCCTACCTCTGAGATCAATAAAGACATTTCAAGGGGGGAATCCTCTGTGTATAGAAAAGAGGCACTCTCACTGCTTACTGGGCTCTTAGAAGACATTTAGGGGTAAATTAGCACTGAACAACAGCACAGAATACTAAGAGCCAGGACTGGTAGTTGTACTTATGGGACCACAGGAAATTTGACCACACCAATGATAAGTGGACATCTGGCTAACTAGAATTATGCCAGACCACAAATGTTGCCCAAATAGAGAGGTTTGACCTGTATAAGTAAGTTCTCAAATACTTTTGAAATGGGAAAATAGTTTCCCGCCCAGCTCTGCTGTTAACTTTGAGGATGATGCAAAGCCCATTTTGTCTTCTGAATATCTGAAACAACTTCTTCTAGCTAGCATATAGATGAGCTGATTTCAGAAGTGAAGAAATATTGTTGTACTGGTGGTTTTAAGCCAATTAACAGCCTTGCTGTTTCCATTGTGCAAGGAAATGTGGTTTCCATATACAATATGAAATCTTAGTTCTAAATAGAGTAAATTTATAAAAACTGTTCTTAGCAGAAGGATCACAGTATTACTTGACTTTTGTATTGCTTAGATTTCTGCACGGAGTGGCCAACTGTATTGGACAGTGATGAGAAATGCGAGCAGCATTTTCCTATTGAAATTGACACAACTCGTAATCCCAAAGCAAGAGTAGTGACTTTAACAGTAAGTACTATATTTTAATAAAGAGCAACCATTTTAATAAAGAGCTCTTTCAAGAAGTGTCACAGTTGAAACTCAAATAAAAGGCAGTAGTGTATTTTCTGTAGAGAGCAACACCTGGAACCTCATTCACAGTAGTATGACCTGTATGGTATATTTTATTTTAATAACAGAAATGACTTCAAGATAGATAAAGCCAAAATCTTAGTTATTCCTAGGGTTATGAAATCTTATTGAAGTAGTCTCTGACCAATGACTGATATGTTATGGGCCTGATAGTAGTATTAGCTAGAGATGTTAGTGGCTAGATGGATAACCATTTAACCTATAAACTCTGGCTACAGGACTGTTAGCCACAACAAATCTCTTCCTGTCCCCGCCTTCCCCAGGTGCTGTGCATTAAAACTTGGACTGGCAGGCTAGCTCAGTCTCAGCCCGCTGGTCCAAGTTATAAATGAAGAGCACACAGGGGAGCCGTGTGCCACCTTGTGCTGATGCCTCTAATACAAAGTCAGCAGTGTGGAGTGTTAGGCAGGAGCCAATGTGTGTAGGATTTGGTTTAAAAACTAGCTCCCGCCTGTCGCCTCTGTATCAGAAGAGGGATTTTTAAACCAGCTCCCACCAGCCACCCTGCACTACTGCATCTAATACAGGGGGCTCCCTAGGATTGGGACCTGGAGTGTACTGGCTGCTGGCCCTGCCCTGCATCGAATAATCATGTAACTTCTAAGAATTGGTGCAGTTACACGATTATTAACTAAAATTATTTTTAACATTCCTAGTATTAGCATATCTTTTAGGACCCTTTAATACTTTTGCATTATTTTATTTGTTTGCTATAACTGAGACTTATAATGAGAAGCACTATCATGGTGAGTTAATTTTGTGTAGTGGCCCTGAAAATCTGTGTAACAGCTTTCTAATTAATCTCTCATGCCTTCTAATTGAATGTCATCAGGTTAATGTGCTCTGACTCATGTGATGCTCATTATTAATTTGATAGAATGTGGTAGTAACAAAAGCTTGGACTGGAACTGTTCCCAAGAACAGAAATCTAGTCCTAGGAGTATAGTCATTTGAGGTATTTTATCCTTTGCCTTAAAGGTGGCTTATATTGTGGAAAAGAGTTACAGTAAAACACACAGCCTGTGATAATATAATCTGCTTGATATTTACCACAGAAATGTCAGAATATAAAGTAACACTTGGTTTTCCTGAAGGACTCCTTGGAGGACTAGAGCATCTGGGTGATGACTCAAGCATGAACAGAGAGGGCAGAATGAGCAATTGTCAAAGTACTTTAATCCACCTGTGTTTTGGGAATTTGATATCTAGGAGTTCACAGAAATAAAACAGTTATTGATTTCCATACCTTAACTCGTGAATCCTCTCCTAGGGTAATATGAACAATGTAATCTTGCTTGGATTGAGGATAGCGGAAATAGGAGGTTTTATGTTCCCCTGGGACCTTATATTAAGGATGTTAACTAGCAGTTAATTTACTAGTCAAGTAGTCTATGGAATTTCCATCGACTACTCAACTAGTTGATAGGCACTTCTGCAGTCCTCCTTTGAAATGTACAAGAGTCCCCAGCGTGGGCTCTTGTGCATTTCAAAGTGGAAGCACCCTCATGGAGCCCAGGGTCAGCAGGGGACTCAGTCCCCCGATGACCTCAGACTCCATGGTGCACTGCCAATTTGAAATGGCACACGGAGCCCGGGGTCAGTTGGGGACTTCCCAGACAGATCCCAGGTTCCGCGGAAATGCTGTGTGGAGCCCAGGATAAGCTGGGGAGTCTCCAGCTCACCCAGGGCTCCGTGCAGGGCTGCCAATTTGAAACGCCAAGGCGTCTTTGCAAAGGAGCAACACCACACAGCTGATCCTAGGATCAGCTGTGCAGGACTGCCGCTTTGAAGTATGCCCTCTTCTCTCCCCTCTCTGCCCCCTTTGCTGCCTCTTAGGTGATAGAGGCAGGAAGGGGATGGATCGACTAGTCGACTGACTATCCGATGAGCATTTGCTTATCGGATAGTCGACTATTCGACTAGTCCTTAACATCTTGTATTTTAATTTTTTATATATATATTTTGTTTTTAAAATGTTGTAAGATGCCTTGAATATTTTAAATAGAGAGGGCAGAGTAAAAATTTTAAATAGTGTTACTTTCTCCTCTACTATATTATTTTGTTTAAAAGTAGTCTTAAAAAACTATTCTGATATGTCAATGTTCCTAATATAGTTATGACTTTCTTAATATTCTAGGACCTATAATTATATTAAAACAGAATTAAGTTTGTGAGTAATAAGGGGAGGATATTAAAAATATTTGAGGTATTGTAATTATCATCAAAAAATCAAGTGTTAAAAATGAAGGTGATTGAATCAGTTCATGCATTGAGGTTTTTTCTTATCTGAGGTAGAAATGCACAGTTCAGGCATACATATAACTTAAGCTCTACCTTGTAACGTCCTATAGTAATCATATGATTGAGTAATTTCAGGGTTTTGTGCTTCCAGATCAAAATAAACTGATTTTTTTTTAAGGCGTGTAAGACTTTTTTTGCATGTTTCCCTTGTGTTGCCATTGCAAGGGGGAGTTTTGTTTTTATTGGATGCCTTTGTGTACATTTCTTACATTAATATTTTGAATTTCTTAAGTATAATTGTGAACTCTCAATTTCTTGGGTTTGTAATGGTTTTCAAGAAATCCTCCTAAACAGTAAGAACACGAAATTCGGTATACAGCTTCCTCTTATCATAACTTAAAGCAAGGCAAGGGTTTGGATGTGCCTGAAATGGAATTGATTCTCATAAAACCATACAGAAAAAAGACAGTTCCCTGCCTGATGACCAGGGCCTGGCTGTTTCCCCCACCTAGGACTGCCCCAATCCAAGCCTCCTCTTCCGTCCCCCTAACCCTCCCAGGTGCCCTATATTGAAAGGCAGGGGTTGCTGAAGCCACTTTCCCAATGCACTAAAGAACATTGCAGGCTGTTCCATTTATCAGGGAGTGAGGGGGAAGTGAACAGTTTGCTGCATTCCTCACTCTGGCTAGAAAGTGCAAGGGGCAGACATACTTGGACCTGGGACCTGCCCCAGCCAGGTTCATGTACTCCTGCCCTGGCTGTACCTGCTAGAGCTGTAGTGGCCATGGAGAGACACTTCTCACCTGGCCCCAAGCTGCTGTGGTGAGAGTAGGTGTGTAAACAGATAAGCAACAACTTATCAGTTTCCATTACAGTTATACTCTTCACCAGCATGTGCGCTGCAGGATCTGTAGTATAAGGTTTATACTGTAGTGCCCACAGAGCATGTAACCATTAGGATTTCTAACAGTTACACAGTTAACCTTTTAACTATGTGGGTTTGGGTGGCTTTTTTTTAACATCCGTAGGTGAAAGCAGGCTGGAGTAGTTCTTTCTCCCTGGGACAGCCTGCATTCTTAACTTGTCATACTCAGCCCCACTCCTGAGCAATGATTTAAATGAAGTCTGTACATTTTCATTTTATTTCCAAAGAATGAAAATTGAGATAAGAACCTGAGCAATGCAGGGTACGTTTTCTATTCTGTTGTAAAGCAGAGGTCCTGGGGTTGTGCGACATAATGCAGAAAATGTCTTTGACCCCTCTCTATTTTTGTGAAATCAGCTTAGTACTGTTGAAAAGTACTTTATTAAAAACCCAAAGAGGTGGTCTCATTTTTCAGCCTGATTTTGAGAATTGCCTTTGTGGCTGAGATACTAGCCTTTGTCTGAGACCCCCCCAGCAATGGTGGTTTGCTGTAATGGTGGTTGTATGATAAGGATAGCTCCATTAATTACTTTTGAAGATAGCAGAGTTCTGTAATCCCACAGAAGAGCCTTCAGATTATATTAATGTTACATAGTCATTCACTTTACCTCTGAGCTATCCACCTGCCCGTTAGACACAAATTGCTACATTTGTGAACTGGAACTGAATTTGACTTGTCCATAACTGAAATGGTTTAGTACTTTTACAAATTTACATTACCAATAGATTTTATTACTGGAGCAGTGCTAAGGGGTTAAAAAAAAGCTTCAGTGGCCAAAGAAAATGTAACCTTCTGTTAGTCCAAGTTCGTGTTGTGGCACTACATATGTCCAGTAGCAACATGCTAATAGAGGATGATTTTTAGCTAACAGGAGTATTGTGACTGATTTTAAAGACAGATGTATGAGGACACATACTTTTACCTTCAGACAGACACAGAAACTCTCTCTGTGTGTCTTCCCTCCTACCCATCCCCCCAACACATACTGTCGTATTTTACTGAAATCTGTATCTTCTGATACTAGCATGGATATCTTGATAGGACAGCGTGTGAATATTTATTATTAGTATTCAACCAAAAAAAGGAGTAAAATTGAAACAGCTAGCCATATGAGGGACTCTTGTACATTTCAAAGGAGGAATGTGAAGGTGCCTCTCCACTAGTCAATGGAAGTTCCATCGACTACTCAACTAGTCCATTAACCACATTTTAACACTCTTAGTCTGAAAGTACAGGTTTCAAATTCATGCGAAGAGAATGTACAGTTGCATGTGACAAAACTTCTTTTGGTTTTGTTTTCTAGACCAAGGTTGGGCAATCATTTCTGAGCAGGGGCCACTTTAAAAAAATTTTAAGTAGTCACAGGCCACCCTGGAAGGGGCAGGGCCTCAGATGAAAGGGGCAGAGCTTGGGATGGAAGGTGGGAGCCCTTTAAATAGAAGCAATTGAAAGGGCTCACTTGTCCCTGGCTTCCAGGAAACAGGCTAGCATGGGGCCGGAACTGTGAGCTCTTTCAGTTTCTTCGATTTTAAAGGGCTTGTGCATGCCGGGTGGCTGCCAGCCAACACAGCTACCCAGGCAGTGTGAGCCCTTTAAATAGAAACATTTAAAAGGGCTCGCAGCTCCGGTGCTGTTAGAGCATTGCCAGGGAGCTGGAACTTGGGAGACTTTTTAACTGCTTCTATTTAAAGAGCTTGTGCCTTCCCCGCACCTGCCAGGCAACGGGAAGGTACGAGCCCTTTAAATAGAAGCAGTCAAAAGGGCTCATGTGGCTTCGGCTCCCAGGCAACACGCTAAGGGATGGGGCCTGGAACAGCCGTGTGTTCAGATGCGGCCCGCTGAGTGGCTTTTGCCCATCCCTGTTCTAGATGCTTGTTAATGTAATAGACAGAACCTTCCTTCACAGAGAATTTACGGTTTAAAATAAAATCTGTAAATTGTGGAGCGATATGCAAAAAATACAGATAATCCACTTTTAGGTGATTTATCAGGCATTTTGATTCTGATGTCACATGCTACAGGTTAGGGATGTAAGCGACTACCTGATAAGCCTATGCTTATTGGGTAGTCGAGTCACGACTGGACTAGTCACTCCCTTCTCCCCACTTCGTTGCCTCTGTATCAGAGGCACTAAGTGGTGGGGAGCAGGAACCAGTGCTGGGGAGATCTGGCTTAAAAGCTAGTTCTCCCCAGCATCATCTCTGTGGGGGACAGGGGAGGCAGAGACTCAGTGGGGAAACTGTGTAAGCAGGGACCAAAGCAGTCTCCACTCGTATGGGGTCCCAACTACTGTGCCTCTCCCTTTGAAATATGCAGGCAGATCTTGTCCATTTCAAAGGAAGAGGTGCAGCAGGATAGCAAATGTCCACCTTATTAGCTAATCGAGTAGTCGATGGAATTACTCAGTTAGCTGAGTAATCAAAATTTAACATCCCTACTACAGATTGAACCTCTCTAGTCCAGAACCCTTGGGACCTGACTGATTCCAAATGAGAGAATTTTCTGGACCGTGGGAGGTCAATATTGTCTAGCAGCATTACCAGTACTTCCACTGCTTACTGGCCTATTGAGGACATTTAGGGGTAAAGTAGAGCTAAATATCATAGAACACTAAGAGCTAAGACTGGTGACATATTGTTTTAAATCATAAGATCTTCAGAACAGATTACAAAGCTTGTTGTGTATTTTTATTTCATTGTCAAGTTTTTTTCTGTGCCTCTAAGGATTATAGACTTGATGCAGGAACTACTGGGGAAAATTCTTTGACCTGTATTATGTAGCCTATATGATCTTTACTAGCTGTAATATCTGTGGATATCTTTGATTCATGCTTGTATTTGCCAGCTGGGTTATAAAAATTCCCCCAAATGTTGTGGTATTTTACAGTGGGTCTGTTTTAGTGCCCTTCTATACTTGTTTAGATGCTTAGGACAAACACTTTTTGAAACACCTGAGTAATGGTCTTAATGATTTGCCGAAGAGACCTGTGGTTTATTTCCTCTGCATCTAGATAAAAGGAGAGAAACTGACCCCAAAACTCTTCGTTGTCATATGATCTCTTATCTATATTTTATCTATATTTAAGTTTTTTTGACAAGTAGTGGCTTTGAAGAGAATTCTGTGAACGCACATCTTTGAATTCCTGGCTTTTAATTCCTCAGTAAAAAATACTGTTTAATTCTAAAAACATTTTGAGTATGCATGCGCATTGAATCTGCAAAATAACTAAAAATGTTTCTTCTTGTACTTCAAGGTTAAGCTTTCCAGCTTGAACTTGGATGACCATGCAAAGAAGAAGCTCATTAAACTTGTAGGAGAGCGGTACTGTAAGGATACAGATATGCTTACTATTACAACAGACAGGTATGGTAACTTGAGAAAAATGTGCTCTTGGCTTATTGGAAAGTAGCAAGGGCGGTATTACTAATATACTGAATTTTAAAAGAATAAGACTATAACCTTGGTATCTTAGACAATGTTAATTTTTAGCCTTTTAATAAAACAGATTCTAACATCCAAGGCTTTGAATGAAAGCTATTGCTCCATCAGCAAGGCTTTCTATACTGGCCAAAGGAATACTATTCAAACTCTTGTTTATAAAGTGCTTTGAGATGGGTTGAGCATGAAATGTACTAGAGCAAGTTAAACTCAGTTTTTCACATAAGGGCTCTTCCTCTGTGGAAAGAGTACAAACAAAAGTCCTGGGACATTTTACCCTTCTCTTTCATGTTCCTTAGTCATTTAGATGGATGCAGAAAGTGGTTCAATTGAGTGCAGTCCCTGCTACTTTCTATGGTTAAACAACTTACCTAATGGTATAGGCTTGTGTTTGAAACTGCAAAGTAAAGACTTGTCTTGGTAGGAATTTTGCCTAATGAGTTCAAGTAGCAATTCTTTGAGTGATTGTAGACATGTATTCCACTCAGGTGTGTACACACGCAGTGCATCAGAGCTAGATAAATTAACCTAATAGTGCCTGTAGGAATGGTGCTCCTGTCCTCTGACCCTCTGCTCCTCCCTAGACTATTTAAGGGTTGTGTCACCCTCACCCCTTCAGCTCAGGCTTTCTGGTATTTAATTATATACAGTTAATGGTTATATCCTAGGAAATGCCCTCATTGGTGTTCAAACTTTCTGTCATGTGAGATGAAGATCCTCAGTAACGATGCCCCTTCACCCTCACGTGCTGCTTGTTGCACCTGGGAGAAGAGCATGTTACAGAAAGGTGCTCCATCTACAAAGAGATTTAAAAAGAGACTGGGGGTGAAGCAGTCCTCTTGAGGCCCACTTTGGTAGTGGAAGACCTCCATACATCATCCAGATTCATGCTCTCCTTCAGAGCTGAAACGAGATTAGTGATGTTAAATTCTTGGCAATAAACTTTCGGAGAATATTCTCAAGAATGTTCTTGAGAATATTCTCCAATGCGAGAATTTTTGAGAATTTTCTCTTAAATACTTGTTAAATAGTTTTTAAAGAATTTTACTATTTATAATAATGTCTTTCTTTAATAAAACTTCAAGAATCATGAAAGTTTCCAATTGTTAAAATGAAAATTCGTGAAAGTAAAGAAAAAAGGCAGAGGTTTAAATTCCTAAAACTTTTAGTACAGATCTTCTGTTGCAGGATACAAATATTTTTAACCTTCTGGATTGAATACAAGTCTAATCAGAATCTGCACTTTCCAAATCTGACTCGTATATTTCTATCTCTTCTTCTTCCTCATACATATCCTCTTCTTCGACTTCTTCTTTTTCTTCAGCATCATCAATTTCTTCTTCCTCATTTCTCTGGTTATGTTTCCTTTTTTCTCTTGGGGATTTCAACGGAGCATCATTTAGGTTTTTAAGAAGCTTTATATTGTGGGCTGTGAATGTCAGCTTGCCTACCCTTTCTTGTGTTAACTTGCTTCTTTTTGCATTATGAATGATACTGTAAGTACTGAAACTTCTTTCAGTTGCTGTTGGTGGCATATTCAAAATGTTGATTGCTGCTTTTTCTAATTTTGATCCATAGCAAATACCTTTCCGCCATGTTACTGCATCTACTGAGCCAGCTGATTGGGTTACATGTGATTTTGTTTTTAGCACAATACTCTGCAAGCTCTGCAATGACTTTTGCTGAGTGATCAGTGCGATACATTCTTGTGACTCATTTATCGATGAATTCAGTTCCTTGTATTTGTTCATTTCTAGTAAGGCACTCACCATTGAATTTTGGATCTAGAATATTTGCAGCATTTTGAATGTCTTTTAGAGCCATATCTTTTCTTTTTTCAAAACTTTTCCTCACATCCTGTTTTTCTTATTTGGTAAATGGAAGCGATTGCTTAATGATCACTTAATTCCCTGAAACATTCAGGAACTTTGCTCATTTTTGGCTGGTCAGATTCAAGCAGCGTAATCCGTTTAACAGGACTTATCAGTGTATGCAGTTTAGACCCGTACCCAAAATATATCTTCATCCAGGATTGAATTCCTGGTACGTTTGCTCAGTTTAGTCTGTAAATCTTCATGGACAGCAAGGCATTTTAAGACTTTTTTTAATTTCAATAAGCTTTTCAAACAATATAAAAAGCTGCTGCTTTTGTTGTGCTCTTTGCATCATCTGGTCATAGAGTTATCTTGTGCATCAGCATCGTATACCATACTGCCTAAGAGTTTAGAGTTGTTGTTGATATCTGTTTTGTTGCTGTGGGATTCTTTAGTATTGCTTTTATTTCTGCAGACTGTGACTGTCGTTTATTCCAATATATAGTGAAAAGTGCGATGCTTCTTTTGGTGTTCATTCACATCGATACTGATGCCATCTCTATATTGGTTTTTCTTGCCCTCTCAGGGAGGCCCCTCCAGTACCACCAGCCAATTTCCAGGCATGTTCATTTTGAGTTGGGGATGTCGTCGTCTTCATAGCACAACCCTAGGAAGCTCTCAATCTTCCTCCAGTCATTATCAGTACTGAGATCAACACCCTTCCTGGAGTAGAGATGGGGCATCTGTCCTCACATGTAATAGCCATTCTTACCCTTATTCCCAATAGTTTGCTTGGAATTCTTTGTGTTCCTTAGCGTACATGGTCCTGTTCGAAGTAGTCCAGGAGAAGGTTGCCAGTTCGGGGTAAAATATTTCTTCCTGGGCCATCTCTATTAGACACAATTTGAGGTTGTTTCTCTTGAGCTGGTTCATCCTGATGGTCTCATGCAAGAGCTTTCAGTGGCCCCATCCCCTTCTGCTTCCTGGTGACCTTACAATCCTGGACAGTTCTTCACCTGCACCTGAGGATTTTGAGTTATACCAGGGCTTCTTGAAGCACATGGCTTCCACTTTCTACATTCTCCTGAATTTGTGCAGGAGAACACCTAATAAATTGCTGGATATTTTCCAGTTGTTAGTTCCAGCTGCTAAATGAAGCTTTATTGGAGCTGCAAAGTCTTTGTGGAATAAACCTGTTTCATTACCACTTACAGCAAAGCTCTTTGGAAAAGTGTGTTATGTTCTTTTTCAGGGCTTTGAGTGATTCTGTCGCCGTCCAGTTTTTAGCTTTCTTCTTGCAACAACATTAATAACAGATCATGACTGGGCTGATCTTCTAAGTCCACCAGCAGGGACAAAGAATCTAAGAAAATGGGCTTGATGAAGAGAAAAATGTACACAACTCATTATTATAACTCATTATTCTAACAACTCCTTATTATAACTACATGTTGAAAATCAGCAAGTGCTGTTATTTATCTAAATATGTAATCTGTTGTGTTGCTATGTTCAAACACCCAGATAAGTTGCTATGTGTTCTGTGTTACGTTAATTGTCTGCTCTACAGGGTTAGTGGAAATTAAACCTTTGTGACAAAACTGTTTCTGCTTTCAGAGACATGACTCCAGATGAACAAAAAGAGCAGATTGTGTTCCACAGCCATGCTCACAGAAGAAATTCTGTCCTGGTTTAAAAACCTCTTACCTGGAATTGGAAGTGATTTAAGATTAAGCTAGCTTAGTGAGTTGAGGGTAGAAGTTAGAGCCCAGGCTCCAGTTTAACTCCAGTTGTCAGCTATGTATTTTGTCAGCTATCTTCTGTTTTGATAGAAGAACAGGCAGATTCTTCTGCAATTGACAGGGAAAGAATCCTAGATTCTCAGTGCATAGAATCATGGGCTATGCCCCCAAACATACCCGGGTGAGTGCAGAAACAGAGGACACAACAGTGCAGGTAGGACTGTTGTTATGGTCCTACTTACACCCTGGCAAGGCTACCAGGTATCCAGATCCAGTTGCCAATTACCTACATTAACTGTGCAGTGAAGAGCACTCCACTCTTCATCTCTGACAAAGCCATATCTTTGTTACCTGCAAGGAACAGGTTGGCCACAGTATCCTTTCTCATGAAGAAATTTTAGTCCCTACAATCCCTTTGTCATCAGTTAGCCTCCTTGCTCCTTGGTAGTCCTGTGATTCACTTGTAGGCATCCTATTTCTAACACAGAACTCCTCTCCTGTTTATTTCCCTTAATTGTTTTTCCAGAATTCCCTCTTGGCTTTCTTACTTTTTCCCTACCATAGTTGGGATTTTTATATTGGCTTCATTTCAGCTGGATTTCAGTTTTGAAGGATACCTGCTTTTGCCATGTAATCATAGCGTGATATGAGGTTTTTTCCTGGGTGTATGCGGGGTTTTTTTTGTTTTGTGTGTGTGTGTGTGTGTTTTTTTTTTTTTTTTTTTTTTTTTAAGGGGAGTTAAGTGGATATGCTAAATATACATTCTTTTTGTGATACTTATTCGGGATGCTTAAGTAATTCTCTTAGGGTATGTCTACACTACCCCGCTATTTCAAACTAGCGGGGTAATGTAGGCATACCGCAATTGCAAATGAAGCCCGGGATTTGAATTTCCCGGGCTTCATTTGCATAAGCCGGGCGCCGCCATTTTTAAATCCCGGCTGGTTCGAACCCCGTGCCGCGCGGCTACACACGGCACGAACTAGGTAGTTCGGACTAGGCTTCCTAGTTCGAACTACCGTTACTCCGCGTGGAATGAGGAGTAACGGTAGTTCGAACTAGGAAGCCTAGTTTTGCGGTATGCCTACATTACCCCGCTAGTTCGAAATAGCGGGGTAGTGTAGACATACCCTTACTGAGTGAAAGGATTTTTATTTCCTCACTTATTAATTTAGGACCTTTTCAGATAGCCTCCTATTTTAAATCTACTCCCACTGTTACATAATGGGTCAACTATAATTATTTGCTGACTCCACTCCTGTGCTATACTTAAGACTAAATCCAACATAGCTACAGGCAGTCCCCGAGTTACGCGGATCCGACTTATGTCGGATCCGCAGATACGAACGGGGATTTTCTCGGCCCGGAGGACTGGAGCGGTGGGACTCCTGGTCTGGAAGCTGATCTGGAAGCGCCGCGGGTCCGGCCCGGGTCCTCCGCCGCTTTGCTCCGCGTCTCTCTGGTCTGCTGGGGGGGGACGCAGCCCTTGGCGCTACTGGGC